CGCTCGGTGCGGCCTCACGGTGTCCCGCCGGGGCGGGGCGTGTGAAGCCGCTTCCAGGCCGTGCCGCCGGGCAGGGGGCGGGAGGCGGGAGCGGCGCTGCGGGGCAGGACGGGCACGGCACTTCTCGCCAGAATCTTCCGAATTCATGCCTGTGTGTAGAAAAACGCTGCACTAAAACAGCGGTGCTGTGCAGTGTCTCAAAGCAGAAGAGGGGGGTCAGTGGAAAAAAAATGGAATTTCCCTATATTTTTACACCCACGTAGTTGTATTTTCTGTTGTGTTGTATTTTCTACGTGACAGCAACTTCACGATTCATGAATATCGCGCCACGTAAAAAAAATTCCTTCATTTTAGCAAATTTAACATTTTGCCTAGTAATGATTACAGTTAATGTTACTGTAGCTTAACAGGCGTTTGCTATTAATCATTTAAAGAGAACCCAGACTAGTGCTGTGCTACTTTTGTTTTTTTTATAGACTGTTGGATTCTCCTGAGCATGAAAGTGCCAAGAAGCAGGGTGTGTTGGCCTTTCTCCGGGTATGTGTCCGTGCGTGGTGAAAGCTGACAAACTTCTAAGTGTCCGAAGTTGTTGAAAAGTGACAGGATGTTTCACTTCGTAATACACTGAGATGAGATGGTTCTGAAAAAGTGAACAGGGTAACAGTCTGCACCATGACTGAGGGAAAACCTTGACAGAATCGGCCTCCAAACTTAAACACCACTCCACCTTTGGTGTAGAACTGTAACTACAATGCTGTGACAGTAATACTGCTATGAAATACTACGTTTGGGTGAGATGATCCTAGTGAGGCACGTCTGCCAGGCAAAAGACCACATAAATCACAGGGAAGGGACAGAAAAAGAGATAAAGTTATAAAGCATTTCAGTTAATGAAAATTTATTTTAAAGTCATGGGTTAGGTGAGGTGACAGCTCTGCAGACCCTAAACATTAACTTTTCTTCAAGGAAATGGTATTTTAGATAGTGTGTAGCACCTTCCATTAGGGAAAAAAACCCAACAGAATATGGCTGAGACTCAATGGCTGAGTAAACCCTGAAGGTATTCTTATTTTGGCTTTGGAAAGCCTATCCTGAAGCCCTGGAGCTTGCCAGAGCTCTCTGTGCTACAAGCAATGCATTAGAATGCAGGGTTCTGTTGTTAAGCTGTCAGGGGACAGGCACTGGGAAGCACTCATCTAAGTGTTCAGCCATCATCTGTAGGACTAGCAGTAATCACAACCAAGGGTAAGGGTACTAATTTAATCATTATTTTAGTGGGCCCAGGTTCAGCCAGATGGGATTGTGCAGTTTGATTCAGGTTAGTATTATAAGGGGTTTTGACCACCAGAAAATACATGGTGGTAGAAAAATGAGAGTCCTCCAAGCATGTCTGTAAAATACAGAAGCCTGTTACCTGTTAATTTTCTGTGTTAGTGTGTTTGGCTTGGAAGGCAAACAAGCTGTTTTTCTAATGCATAGCAATTCCATACTGGGATCTGAAACTCCCCAGCTTTTTCCATGACTAGCAATGATGAATTCTAATTACATACTAGTTGACAACTTTGTTGAGGAATGGCTGACTAGAACCCATTCCTGCCCTAAATAGGCATTTTGGCTCTGAAGAGCCAAATGGATGACAGAAATAGAAAAGATAGTTTTGTCAGTGAAGTGCAACACTGTGTGTTTATTTTCAGTTGCTTCCTTAACGGTGAGAGGCTTCCCACCTCTCTTCCCTCCCCCAGCTACTGCTGTACCCAGGTATTTAGTTTGCAAAGCTTTCCTGCACAGGACAAAGCAGTTTCCTCTATTCCTGATGGGAAAATCACCCTCCTCCCTCCCACATGTACCAAGTGTTTTTCTCAAGCTGCAGAATAGCATCCTTAAACTGTTGATAATATTGTCTTTATATAACTTTTTACCTGTAGATTCTGCTCTTATTGTGCTTTAGAGAACTTAAATTTACCCTTGAAGGCATGTATATATGGAGACGTTGGCAAATTGAAGCCAAAGAAAGTATAAATATGTAGTTGAGCTTTGAAGTATCTTAACAGCTCGGTTACTCCTGGACCTTTGTAAGTGTTATTACATATTACAACCCTTTGATTAAGCAAACAAGTCTTCTGCCTACCCCAGGCACTAAGGTTATGATTTTCCTGTTCTACATGGGATCGTGTTGCTACCAAACCAACGTTGCAAATAGGATGTAGAGCTCCTGTAAGCAAAAAAGTGTCTTAAACTAAGGTATTACTAAATACTTTTAAATTGTTTTCCTCACACTTCAGTTTGTTCATTTTTAGATACTAACACAGTCAATGTTTAGACAAAAAGTAAAAGCAGCATTGCATATTAGTTGCTTTTCATTCTGTAAGTTAAGAAAAGATATTTTAAGTGAACTTGCCATTGACCTTGTTTTTTAGGTACAAAACTACAATTAATAACATGAATAAAAAGTAAAAATAGAATTAGTTTAAAATTGATCTTTTTTTCCTGCTGGACTCCTACTGGGAACTAGAGAATTCTCTTAATGCATTTGTCTTTCAGTTTGTATTTGCTTTGGAAAAATTCACGGAATTGTATGTCACAAAGATCAAAAGGCACTAAAAATGTTTTAGAACTTTTTTTTCTTGGATAAGGGTTACGAAAGAGCAAATACATTTAAAAGGTCAGTAACTGAACTTGAAGAGTGTGGGCCATCAATACCTACTGTCAGTGCATCTCCCCTGCATGCTCTTTCAACTTCACTGATAAGAAGGAATTGATTCCTTACTGATACTAGTAACACCGATGACAAATACAGAATTATTATATTGTGAGAATAATTCTGAATAACATGGCATTTCTACAGTATTTCTTAAATAGTGCACAGACACAGGCTGTCAGGCAGTCCTTGTTCTGTATAACTTTTCCCAGTTTGGGAAATCAAAAGATTTCTCCATCAAAAGATGGAGAGCCCTTACTGGAAATGGTGCCCCGGCCTTCCATACTCACTAATTCTTCCTTCCTTCCTGAGAAAAGCTCAGGAATGCAATTTTTCTGCATTTTGTATGTATTTTTGCTTTGTTGTTATTGCTATGAAGGGATTTTTAACCTTATGTATCTGCACTGTGTAGAAGGAACATAGATCTGAATTGCATTCTGTGTTTTCATTACTGTTTAAATATTGAAAAAAGCTGCAGTCTATGAGACAAATTATTCTATTTATGATGTAGGTGGATTTGGAAGAGAGTGAATCCATAATCCACCAGGGAGAGGCATTTTAATGAAAGATAAATGCAGCAGAAGTGTCTAGGGGATTATTTTGGCAATTATCTATTTCTGTATTGATAAAATAAGTTCTAATTCTACCCGAGTGCTAAATATAGTGCTCAAGTAATTTTAGGAAGTGCTACTTTTAAATATCTGCAAAAACTGCAAGTTTGTGAGCTGCTTTTAAATTTTCCCCTAGATCTTTTGGTACATAGTGCAATCATCTATAAATGACTGCTGAAGTTAATTGTAGTATGAGACCGAGCAAGGAGATAAGTACAACTATATATGATGCAAAAATGCTTTAAAACATGATACAGTTATTTAAAGCACCAACACAGATTTAAAGTGAAGAAACAATATGCACAGGGTTGTCCAGGAATTTAAAAACAACACACTCAGTTCAAACACTGTGAAGAGTCTCAGTTTCTGTCCATATTTAATCATAAATTTAAATTCCTGGCATCAGTTGTTGCTCAAGCTCCCCTCACCACCACCTTTTTTTTTAAATTTTCCTTCTCCCCTCTAGATTCATGGCATGCACCATGGTGGATCTGTGCTGGAAGCTGTCTGTCTGCTTTTTTTGCTATCGAATTGTCTCAGGAAGAGTTCAGAGGGAAGGGCATTATGTTGCTGCCGTTTACGAACACGAGTCCATACTGAGTCCTAATCCCACAGCCCTGGTTGATCGACAGTCTGCGCTGGAACTCATGGGCAGAAACCTGGACATTTATGAGCAGCAAGTAGTGGCTGCTGCAAGACAGGTATGCCACAACTTCCCAGCAGTTGCATGTGTCCTATGTATATATAGAGTGAGTGCTATTTGAGGATAATGTTTCACATTTGTGTTCCCAGGCAACTAAAGCTGTATTTATATACAATAAGTATGGTCTGGTTTTTCAGACATTCTGCCCTGCCAGCCGTGCTGAAAAGTATCAGGCCAATTAGCAGCTCATCTGACCTGAGTTATTCCAAGCTTGGAAAAACATGCCTGTAGTTATTTAGTTTAGGGAAATTGATTTTCTATTTTGGTATGAATACCCAGCTCCTTTCTGTTTTCTTAAATGGAATGTTTTTATAGAAAGCTTGTCTTATATGCAGCTGTCTTTGGCTTTGATTTTATTCCACTGCTCTCAATGGAAATTCCTGAATGTTTCTAAAAACTAAGGATGTTTAATGCTTTGGAAATTAATGTTCCATCATTAATAACTTACTGGAAGTAAAGTTTTCCATTCCTTTATCCTAGCCTCCATGGAATGGTTCTCAGTCTAAACATATTTAGAGGAGAGAGACTAGTATTTCTGGCTGTTCTTAAGCACAGCCTCTTTTCCTTCCCTCCCCAAGAAAACCCTAAGCTGGTTCTAGTCCAAAGAAGCAGGCATTACTGTCCTTACACAGAAAAGAACTGACTTGCAAGTTTCACAAGTCTATTGTTTTGGAACAGAAGAATTACAATTTTTATATAACTTGAAAAAGTGGTTGTTTGTTTTTTGTTTGGGGTTGTTTGTTTGTTTGTTTGGGGTTTTTTTTGGCAGTGATGACTGGGCATTACAGTCCAGAAGCATAATAGCTATTTCTATGCAGTACTGCATCTGAGACACATAAATTATCCCAAAGCCATAGCACAGATAACACAGTTGAACTGACTTTTGAACAGTCACAGGAATATGAGTTATTGGTGCTGTGTCTGATTTAAGAGGAATCCACTACATTTTTAAGAACCTGAATTTCAGGTAGAGCCAGCCTAGCTCTGGCATGGCTACATTACTGCCAATATCCACATTGCTTCCACACTCCAGCTGTTTCTGAAAACAATGCTCCCAGTATCCTATCGAAGCTTATACACCTAATCATGGTAGATAGACCAGACTAAGTGATGCAGCATCTTTGACAAAGTTCATCTGCAAATGATGTAGTTCTGAAAAAACCCAAACATGTCTTTGTTTTACATACAGGGGGCACAGATAATTGTTTTTCCTGAAGATGGAATCCATGGCTTCAACTTCACCAGAAGCTCTATTTATCCTTACTTGGATTTTGTTCTGCATTCACACTATGAGAAGTGGAATCCATGCAGAGAGCCTTACTTGTTCAATGACACAGAGGTAAACGTAGGAGTGACTGATGCAGAGAGGTGAAATAACTAAATGCTAGATCTGTGCTCCATGTGGGAAACCAACTCTAGTTGTTTTGCTTAGGGAAGTAAGAAGTTTAACAACTTGTAATACCAGATTCTGTTTTCATGGACTCTCAGTTTGTTGCTTTCCTTCTTAGCAGAGGAGGGCTTTAGATTCACACATGCAGGATTAGCTTGTTTATGAGCAATCTGGATTTGTCATCTCTTCCCCAACCTATAAAATGGTAATCACTCTCTTAGCAAGATATATAAATACTATATAAAACAACATAGCAGTATCTTCACTTTTGATGCATTCTTGTTACTCAACTTGAATGACTTAATGACATTAGAGCGTTCTGAGTGGAATTACACACATAAAATACACATACACACATAAAATTACACACACATAAAATTATTAGCTCAAGGCAACAGGACTTAACCTGCTAGAATGCATTAGAACCACAACTTAGCACACACCAAGTGTGATTTCAGAAGATAGGACCTGCAAGTTACGAAAATAGTATTTTCATCAACTATTCTGGACGCAAAGTGAAAATACCCACGTTTAGTAATGCAGACTGTTTATTCCTATTAAAGTTACAATCAATATAATGAAAGTAATCATGCATGTGCCAACTAAAGAGGATTTGTATGCAAACATGAGTAACAGTTGCAAATGGTGACCTACTTTGGCCTGTGAACCTTTACTACCAGTGATTATGTACAAGGAAGCAAGTTTGTCATTGAGATCCTATGTGGAGATGGCAATACTGGCAGTCTTTGGTACAGCTCTATAGCACAGAAGAAACATCCCAGTAATACTGTAGTCTGTACATTTTAAAACTATGCACAGTCTATTGATTAACATCTCTGCTTCTCTGCGTTGCAGCTAGTAATAACTTTTTTTTTTTAATTTAGAGTAGAACCACATCTAGTTGCAGGAACAAGCCGTTGTAGGTGCATATGATCGCTATGAGGAGTTTGCTGTTCTAAAGGCACACACGGATAACTTATGCTGCCTTGTCAAATATTTCAGTTGACTTGTGGTGTTTTAAAGCTGTTAGTGCTCCTGCAATAGAAGTTTCTGAAAATTAGTGCCCATGACAGAGAGATTTATTTATTTATTTACATAATTCTCAGGAAGCCAGATAATTTTCTTAAAGCTGTTCTGAAATTAACACTTGAAACATTTTTCAGTGTAGAAAGCTACTGGTTTCAGCAGCTTTTGCCACAAAATGATCAGTACTTTAAATTTTACAGGTAGCATGAAATGTGTTCAATTTCCAGTTAAAAATAGTAATTTGAAAAGTATGAAATAAGTCATAGCTGTTTAAATAAAACTTACCCCTCTTATCATATTCTGAAGTGCTTACATTTCCCCATGTATTGTTCTGCAGGTTCTTCAGCGTCTGAGCTGCATGGCACTGAAGAACAAAGTGTTTCTAGTGGCAAACTTAGGAACTAAGCAGCCCTGTGAGCACAGTGACCCTCACTGTCCATCTGATGGGAGATACCAGTTCAATACCAACGTGGCATTCAGTGATGAGGGGGTGCTGGTAGCCACGTATCGCAAACACAATCTGTACTTCGAATACGCTTTTGATACCCCTCCAGAGCCTGACTATACATTCTTTGATACCCCTTTTGCTGGCAAGTTTGGCATGTTCACTTGCTTTGATATACTCTTTTTCGAGCCTGCAGTGAACCTCATCAGACAATACAATTTGAAACAAATTGTGTATCCAACCGCCTGGATGAACCAGCTCCCACTCCTGTCTGCTGTAGAATTCCAACAAGCTTTTGCAACAGCTTTCAATGTCAATATTTTAGCAGCTAATATCCACCACCCTACCTTGGGCATGACAGGGAGTGGCATATACACGCCAGTCAAATCCTTCATCTATCACAACATGGAAAGTTATGGTGGCAAGCTCATAGTAGCAGAAATACCTGTGATTACCACAGATTACAAAACCAAGTTGGAGAGTAAGGAAAGATTCATAGAGAACTTACATCACTCATGCAAGACTTCTACAAGTGCCTCAACGGATGATCAGGTCTGCTTTAAAGAGGGAAAAGAGGCACCCAGAAGAGTATCAGAAGATGAACACTTACCTCCTCTTTTTTATGCAGAAATGATGTATGACAACTTTACCTTTATTCCTGTATGGGGGGAAAAAGGAGAGCTCCAGGTTTGTGCCAACAGCCTCTGTTGTTACCTAAATTATCAGCGAGCTGTTTTAACTGATGAATTATATGCTTTGGGAGTTTTTGATGGGCTCCATACAGTGCATGGCACATACTATGTCCAGGCCTGTGCATTAGTTAAGTGTGGGGGTCTCAGCTTTAGCACTTGTGGACAGGAGGCTACAAATGCCACTACTATGATAGACTTCCAGCTATGGGGAAATATGAGTACCCCTTATATCTTTCCTTTACTGCTGACATCTGGTATTACTTTGGACTTTGCTGATGACATGGGCTGGAAAAACCACCACTATTTCATAAGCAAAAATAGAACATCTTCTGGCCTACTGACAGCTGCTCTCTATGGACGATGGTATGAAAAGGACTAGCACAGATATTTGACTGAATCAGGAAAAAACTGCCTGTATGTTCAGAGTAGACATCTTAACATAAATGATTGAACATCTGTACTTCCTAGGACTTCAGGTATGTTTGTTAAATGATGACTGATTAGATTCCACATTTGAAATGGTGAGTGAAGCACTTAACCTAAGAGGCTGTCAGTACAGTCTGTACCTTGGTCGCTTATGTCCTGCCAGATATAAAAGAACTGACTTGCAGAGATAAAGGCTTGCTGTAATGAGTTGAGAACTTCTGTACTGGGACACTAGTATGTATCATTTCAATGTAATTTATTCATTTTAATTTAATCCTTTGGTTTTTTGGCATCCTGACCAGGAGTATGGAAATGAATGGAATGGAAAATCAGTGCAAAAGTAAAAAAAGTAGGAAGGGGAACAAAGAAAGACATAAATACCGTGCATGACACGCGTGAAAATATGGATGTATACATACATACAGGTTGTATATGCTGCAGTTCTGAGTTCTGGTTAGGCTGCCATGATGTGTTTTGTTTCTAAGAGTCAAAACCTTCAGCTGAAATCATTACCATTTACTGGCCACTCATTTGCCTGTAATCCTGTTAAAAAACGCAGTGAATTTTCTTATATGCTTCTATCAGTAACTGAATGTTAACAGTTGTGAACATCTATGGAACAGATAGGCAAGAGAATACCAAATAATTGTGAAAAGCTAGACTGCATTAAGATACAATTTCCAGCCTATTATGCAAGTAGTTGTGTTTAAAGAAAACCTTCCCTGGTTAAAAGAGAGGTCATTTCAAGACTGTCTTGACTTTAAGGCATCTTACACATTGTTCATAAATTCATTCAACAAGAGCTATGAAAAGCACATCATGAATTGTGGGGTAGCAAGGTTTTTACATAAATACTTGGTGTGCCAGATGGCAGGTTCCTGCTGCTAAATGAGTAAAACACACCATTCCTTCCAGAGCAGGAACTAGATTAAGTGCTATAAATATTGTACTGCAGTGACGAACTGTTCTACTGCAGTGAAGAAGTTGGGAAGAGATATTCAAAGGATATCAATTTGGGGTTAAATTCAGATAAGGTAATTTATTCTCAAGTGTTAAAATTTTGTGTGGTCTTATCGACTGATATGACTTCATCTGCCTCATAGTTGTCAAGTAAAGGAATAAACACAACTGTTTCCTTTGGTGGGTCCTCATGTTCCAGTTGCTCAGTCTGTGAGGGACACTGTAATGGCCGAGAGGAGCAGTGGGGAGCAGAGCACTAATGGGATTGTTACCAGTCTCCATTTTGGTGGTCTGAGTCTGTTCTGAGATGTGTTCAAACTCAAACCACTGTGACAGCCACAGGGATGCATACTGAAAGGTGCTCAGTAAGTTCCTGCTTTGAATGAACTAATTTTCTGGTTTCAGAAAGCAAAACAACCAATAAATTGCTGAATTTTTGTTTCTCCTTTTGTTTCTTTGTTTCAAGGTTTCTTAAATATTGGCACAAAATAAATATGTAAATATTTATAATCATAGGCTCTTTCAAACCTTCCTTCTCCAAGCTATAATTACTGTGAACCAGGACCCAGTCCCACTCACTTTGATACAGCAACATAACAGGTTTGTTTATCCTGTAGCATATATTGGACAGAAATACAGAGAGGGGAATATCTGTATCTCAATAGACATAAACTTGCTGATGTAAAAGTAGGCCATATCACTGCAGGGTTATTAAAAACAGTTAATTCTTTGGCACCCATAGGGGCCTTCTTGCTGAACGCTGCAAATTCCAGAACATAACAGGGCAGAATAGGAAAAAAAAAACTGTGGAGCTTATTTGTGCTTCTGGTTCTAGTACCATGTGGCCAAGTCTAAAAGCAAGGAACAAACCATGGCTGGAGAATTTCAGGTCTCAGGACAAGCCTCCCCACTCCACTTCATGTGCTGAAAAAACACATCCTATTACATACCCTAAATACTGTTTCATTTAGTTGCAAAGCAGACCATTACTATCACAATAAACTAGGCTAATCAAGTAAATAACGTTACATGTCGTTGCTATGGTTAAGGAAAGAAAGAAATGAACTGTGAGATACTTTCTAAGTGTGTTCCACAGAGCTATTCTAACTCAAGGCATGTCGAAACTATTAGAAAACAAAACTTTCTGGCCTTACCCGTTTCCATGGGGTGCATTGCTCTGTCTCCTCCCTGAGAAGAGCAGGTGTGTTAGGGGGTGTTCTCATACCTTGTTCCCTTCACCCCCATAAAAGCAGCTGTTAGCACAGACACTGGAGAAGGTGGAATAGACAGTACTAGACACGATGGAGACTCAGCAGTAAGTGACTTCGTCCAACTTCCTGATGTTTGAGGGACAACAGATGCATTCTTAAACAGGGTGACCAGGCTGTAACCCTTGACCTTCACCCCTACTGACTGGCGGGTTTTGGAAGCCTGTGCTGGCACAGCGATCCCAGCAGTGCCCTGCTGAGTGCAGCACTGCTCCCCAACACCCCCGTGGCAACGTGGGCGAAGCTACTGAGGAGGTGGGAGAAGCCTTCAGCAAGGCTGATGGTGACACGGGCAGATTTGTAACATGCAGTAACGCAGCTCATTTTCTATGATCTCTTTTAATAAACGTAAAGGGAGGCATGTGAACAGGCTGAGGAACTGGTAATGCACCAGAACAAGCTCTCCAGATCCAAGATCTTCACAATACTCACAGATGTAAGCTCATTTAGGGAGATGTCTACAGGTGAAATGGACCAGACTGAAGTGACTGAGCTTCAAGAGCCTCCTGCAATCAACATGTAAGTAAAGAAGCCATCATCATGGGGCACGGCAGAGACTTCTCCAGGCTATGACCTGTCTTGCAGCATCAGTTATTTAGCAAACACTCCAGCATCACAGAAAATCCAAGGGAACCAATATAAAAAAACGGACTGCCCTCTTTGGCTACTTCAGACATGTCCTCTAAAGTGAGTAAAAGAGCCAACTGAGTAAAATTACATTTGTAGAACTGGTACATAAAGAGGACCTGAACAACGCCTGACCACCACTACTGACACACACAGATTCAGTGGCTAGAAGGAACTACTCCCTCCTCCTCCCCCATTTATCTAGGTTAAAAAAAAAGAAAAAAAAAGAAAAAAAAAAAGGAGGTGACAAAAGCCATTCCTGAAAACTCCAACTATTCACAGGCTCAACAATCAAGTTTTTTAATGGCCAAGGACAATAAGAGTAGTTCAGAGGAGGTGCAGGCAACACAGGTCAGAAGTTGGAGATGACAGTGCTACCCACAGCAGAGAAGGTTGAGCAGCGGCCTGTGCAAAAAACGTTCAATGAGGCCAAGTGCACATGGGTCAGGGCAATCCTAAGCTCTGGTGCAATCTGTCTGGGCAGAGAATGGATTGAGAGCAGCCCTGGGAAAGACTTGGTGCTGTTGGTTGATGAAAAGCTCAACATGAGCCAGCAATGCGCACTTGCAGCCCAGAAAGCCAATCAAATCCTGGGCTGCATCAAAAGCAGCCTGACCAGCAGGCTGGGGGAGGCGATTCTCCCCCCATTGCTCTCATGAGACCCCACCTGGAGTAGTGTGTCCAGTTCTGGGGCCTCCAACATAAGTAAGACATGTAGCTGTTGCATCAAGTCCAGAGGAGGGCCACAAAGGTGGCCCGAGGGCTGCAGCACCTCTCCTGTGAAGGCAGGCTGAGAGAGTTGGGGCTGTTCAGCCTGGAGAAGAGAAGGCTCTGGGGGGACCTGACAGCAGCCTTGCAGTGCCTGAAGCAGCCTACAAGAAAGCTGGGGAGGGGCTTTTTATTAGGAGTTGTAGTGAGAGGGCATGGGGTAATGGATTAAAATTGGAAGAGGCAGATTTAAATTGGATATTAGGAAGTTCTTTACGAGGAGTGTGGTGAAGCTCTGGAACAGGTTGCCCAGAAAAAAATCACAAAAACAAACAAAAAAACCCCTCACCACAACCAAGAGGTAATTTTTAAAAGTGCACATTTCTAGCTCTGTTTGTTCCAAATATATGTATATTATTATTTTGAAGATATTATTGTAGGGGTGGACAAGCAATAGAGTAATAGGATTAAATACAAAGCAGGTGACACAGAAAGGTCAAGATTTTAAAAGAAATAACAAGAAAAATATTTTTTATTACAGTGGGGCCACTCAGGGTGGGAAGACAGACCAATTCTTCATTTTAACAACATTGAGCATTTCTGCTACTCCACTGTGAAAGCAAAAGCTCAGCCTGAGATTTTACTACTAATGAGGCATTTTCTCGTGCAGAACATCAATCCTGAGAACTGAAAACTCCATAAACATCCCACAGGTCAGAGTACACAGAAAGCTGAGCAGAGCTGCTTGTTCTCGTTCCTGAAAGTCCATTTGATTCCCGTCCACCACCCCGCCCCCTGCATTCTTGTATTCTAATATACTGCTTCCTTGGTGCAGCCAAGGCTCCCTGCTCTCCTGGTGAAAATCCAAGAGATTGTTTGGATGAGCTTGTAACAATAATGAAAACATTCATCTGTACAAAAAGAGGATTTTTTTAGAAAGGTTGACATGCCAATACTTTATGGAAATAAACAGGCCTCCACCAAGGTATCAGCTTTTTTTTACATTAAAAAAACACCTCACCAGCCATAGACAGCATTATATGTTTTTACAAAAACAAAGAACCTTCTGTTTTTTGACTTCTCATTAAGAAAGTGATCTCTGAAAACAGTAGCATATCCTTTTAACAAATCACATTCAATTTTTGGAGTAAGACCATATTCTAGTACTAGTCCCAATTATTGGTTTGGATTTTGAAGTAGAAACAACCAAATACAAGCAAATTGCAATCTACATACTCACTGACTTCTAATGATGAGACAGAGACACACAAATCGTGTAACTCTGAATTCCTAAATGGAACTAGCAATTTGTAATAAAAAAGACACTTCTTCAGCTGTAAAAAGCTGACAAAACTTAACTTCAAATAATGCAATGAACTGCAGAAAAAGTCTTCCTCAGGAGGTGAGTAATAATGAGAGGTACCACTTCTGATTGTCACAGGAAACAAGTGCTCAAAAGCACTGTGTTCTGCATTTACCTGTATTCCATATCCAAATCTAACTTTTAAACCAGGTCCTT